GCGTAGAAGCCTTGGCAAAGGGACTTCATATCTCTTGCTTGTGCCTTCATAACTTTGTAGTACAGTTTCTTGTTGTCGCTCTTGCTTTTCTCAGCTTTTCCTTCAAACTTTTTTAACTCCTGTTCCATGACGGAGAAGAAACCAGCTGCTTTGGAAATACCACTTATAAAGCCCTTCAAGGCAGGGATGAGGGTGTCGCTGACTGTGATTGCGGCAGCTTCTTGAACTTTTGCCTCGCAGCCTTTAGCAACTGCACTAGCCACATCTGATTCAGCAGCAGAAAGCAACACAGGGCTCGCGATAACGTTTACAAACGGTACAAAGGCAAGTCCAACCGCCCAGGAGCGTTTTGTACATGCTTTGTCTTCTAGCTCTTTCTTCTTCCTTTCAAATTCCTCTTGAAGGTGTTTCAATTCTTTTACAATTACACGAGCCTGGTCTTCTCTCTCTTTAAGTGGTACCAAGATGTCTTCGTGCATCTTCAGTAGCGCTTGGCACATCTCCCTGTAGCAAATGGTCTCTTCGAGGATGTCAGACAGCATCTCACGCCATTCTTCGTACTCCAGGGCTTCATAGTACTCAAAGTACTCGCTGATGGATGAGACCAGTTTGGTCGAAAGCGGCAGGACACCTTTAAGGTACACCATTGCGTCGTTTCTGGTTTTGTCTCGGAGTTCCCTAAACTTTCTAGCGCCTTTGGAATTGGTGCCAAGAGCCTGATCTGAGTAAAGGGATCTCATGCAAAGAGAAAAAATTCGCATGTCGACTGGCATGCTCTGTAATTGTTCTCGAAGGTCTTTAACGGAGTTCTCTGCTTGCTTTTCGGTGTCACTCATCGTTCTGCTAAAAGAAGCAATGGATAATCAAAAGGTATTCTTATTTATTAACCCATGGATTGTTCCTATCATCGCTGTGTTTGTTCATTTTAACAAAAGATCAATTGCTTTAAACAATCATAGAATAAAGCTGTAAAAATGATAGAAAAAGGGGCAGTATGTCTCTAGGCTGCGGTTTTCGTCACAGGGGATTGAGATTAGTTGTTCCATAACAGATGAAACGAAAGCTGCTGTTTTGTTCATCAGTTATTGATGCATATGGCATTATTTTAAGATGGCTAAGGAAAGATAGGAAAGATTGCAAAAAAACTTACTTTCATGATAAGGATCAAACAAGAGGAGTTGTTGGAGTTTGCATGTATTGGTTTCAGATGTCTGCTACACTTATGTAATCGTCATGTGCCTAGCCTCCTGTAAGCTCAAGTTAAAAGGGCTCTGGAAAACGCATCCTTTTTTCTTCGCTAAATTTCATTCTCAGCCGCATAACATAATATCCTTCAAGCTACTATCAAAATATAAAGACTCTCTTCCCTCCCTTACAGAGATCAGTTCAACAAAGGAAAAGTGACCATTAGTTTCTCAAAATATTTTAGTTTTGATCATAGGTTTTCTCAGCACGAAAAGGTAAGATACCCCGAGGAAAATCTCATCCGGGCAGGTTAATTACTTGACAACCGATTCAATTAGTAGTGCTATTAAAGTTAACCTTCGTTTTGCCATGTTTTTTTTAAAAAAAATCTCGAGTTTGATCACAGCTTTTCTTTCCCGATGCGTTTTATGGAATTGTTTATCGAAATTCTGCTGTAGACACGCCAATAAAATAAAAGAAGCAATCGGCCCTTCACAAATCGTAGGCTTCCAACCGACTTGAATTTAAGAATTTTTCACACCAATCTAAATAACGGCAAG